GCATTAAACAGACCTGTTTAATGCCGTTGTCAAGGTGACGGAGCTGATCATGGATGGTTTGCAGTTCCTTCCTCATGTCCTTCTCACTGTCTGACAGCACAGGAAGTTGACTCCGCAGACTTCCCAAAACCTGTTTTACTCTACACACACACATACATACACTTAAGTGGTTGTATCTTAGTTACAATTAATTCAATAAGGAAGTTCTGAGTTCAGAAAAACATGCCCATTTCAACATTTTTCTATTTAACTAATTTCAAAGAAAGGTGAACCTGTTAATAATGGCTTCTTGACGGTACTTGGCATCTTCATATTTATCAGCCAGGCGCTCCGCAGCCTCTCTCAGGCTTTTTCTACAACACACCATCACATTTACCATCTTTAGCACAGGCACATACTGCCGTAAACCACAGCGTTAATAACTCTTCTGTGCTGAGCCCACTCATACTGTATATTTCCAGTGTCTACCACACTCAATAATAACATGAGGTTTTGCTTTCTATTTGTAGTACTCGTACATGTAGTTATTCTCAATGACTCAACTGAGCTAAATGTGTTTCTGTATGTGAGGTTGTGATTAGTGCTATTCAGGCAGTGCTGGGGTCACCTCTCCTCTCTACAAAGAGCAAGATCCTCCAGCTGCTTATTCTTCTGGCCGGTCAGGAGCTTTACTCTGAAAAGGGGACAATCATGAAATAATTGATCAAAGATGTATTTACATGGACTGCAACAGTTTCACACTACTAAACAATAAATGTTGATTAGGCGGTTTATGTGGAACACTTTTTTCCTGTACAGAGTATATTTCTATTTCAGATTTAAATGAGAGCATGCAGTGCTATAACTGAAACATAGTACTGCACTGGTACCATGGTGCAAATGAAAATACTATAGTAGTTGTATATATTACAGTTCAAATGTTTGAGTCAATAAGATTGATTATTTACTAATTTTTTTGATTGATTGTAAGAAGTCTTTTATACTCACACATTTAATGAATCACAAATAATGTAAAAACAGTATTGTGAAAATTTATTAAATCAT